CAAACTCCACCCAGAAGGCCCCTGGACCGGGGTTTGAACCAGGGACCTGTTCGCTGAGAGGCAGCAGCTCTACCAGTTGCGCCACCGTGCTGCCCAAATTGACCTCATTTCCTTAAATGATTTGTTAAAATTGAATAGTTTTCATTTGATATTATTTCTGTCTTAACATGTGATTCTTGACCTGCCATTGTGTATCTATTCCTACCAAACCCAGCTGGTTGAAGCAGATGGTCGCTTGTCCTGAACCTGGTTCTGCTAAAGGTTTCTTCCTCATGAGGAAGTTTTCCTTTCCACCGTCGCCTTCATGCTTGCTCAAGATGAGAGTTCTGTGATGGAGTTAAACTCAAAGCTGCTCCTCAGATAAGTAATGTTAAATTATTATTTTTAAATATTTATGTTTCTGTTGACTTATTTTATATATGGATGTTTCTGTTCAGTGCCCTGAGACGACTTCTGTTGTGACTTGGCGCTAAATAAATAAACTGAATTTAATTGAGTTGAAATAGTTTATTTTTCAATCGTATTGTCTTTTTGCAGCTCTTGGTGCTGTGATTTTTGCTGAGCTGCTCTCTGCTCTCAAAATAGTTCACACAGCTCATCATCTGGTAGCTAGTGTTGTTCAATACCAGGATTTCTGGTCCGATATTGATGCCGGGTAAATTTCAGGCTAGTATTGGTGATACCGATACTAGTACTTTGTGCAAATACACCTAATCTGTCAGGTAAACCTAAAAAAACCCATCCATCCATTATCTTTACCCGCTTATTCCATTTTGGGTCAAGGGGGTCGCTGGTGCCCATGTCCAGCAATCACTGTGCGAGAGGCGGGGTACACCCTGGATGGGTCACAAGTCCATCACAGGGACACATAGAGACAAACGAGACAAATAACTATTCACTCTCCCACTCACACCTAGGGACAATTTAGAGTTACCAATCAGCCTAACATGCATGTTTTTGGTCTGTGGGAGGAAACTGGAGCACCCGGAAAAAATCCCACGCATGCACGGAGAGAACATGCAAGATATCAAAGTAATTTATTTATTTTAAACTCAGGAGTATGTTGAGGTAGTGACCGCATTTACAATAGAGCGGACCTTCTACAACAACATATAATAACAGAGGACACATTCATACAAAATTTGTGAAAATGGCGTTTCAAACACACAAAAAAAGAAAATAAGGAAAATCATAAAGCTATTAAAATAAATTACTAAATATCTATTAAATAATAAGATATATGTTTTTAAGATATGTCATATTTTGTAGTATATATTTTTCAGAGTTCACAAGGCTGTTTTATCACCATTGCTCTGTATAATTTGATGACACCTGTTCTATGTACGAGTGGGGTCCTTCATGATGCAGGTGGCCCTCTTCCTGCATCTGGAGGTGTAGATGTCTGTGATGGTGGGGAGACTGACTCAAACATCTTCTGCACAGCCTTCACCACTCTCTGCAAAGCTTTTCTTTCTGCCGCTGTGCAGCCTCCATGCCACATGTTGATGCTGGAGCACAGGATGCTCTCCACTGCACACCTGTAGAAGGAGGTGAGGACTGAGCTTCCCAGACCAGCTCGCCTCAGCCGCCTGAGGAAATAGAGTCTCTGATGAGCTTTCTTGATCAGGCTGGTGATGTTGCTGCTCCAGCTGAAGTTGTTTTTCAGGCGCACACCCAAGTACTTGTAGCTGTAGGCCACTTCCACCTGGGGTGTGTTTGTTCCGTCTGAAGTCCACAACCATCTCCTTCGTTTTCTTTCTGTGAAGGCTGTTCTTCCTGCACCAGCTCTCAGTGTGTTCCACCTCCTGCCTGTAGCTGGACTCATCATTGTTTGTGATGCATCCCACCACCGCTGTATCATCTGCAAACTTTACAGTACGACAGCCTGGATGGGTAGGTGAACAATCATACGTGAGCAGAGTGAACAGGAGGGGGCTCAACACACAGCCCTGAGGGGAGCCGCCAGTGCTGAGGGTTATGATGGAGGAGGAGATGTTGTGGATCCTCACAGATTGCAGTCTGTTTAAGAAGTCCAAGATATATGTGTGTGTGTGTATGTATAAATATTATGGTATTGTAGTAGTATAAATATGTGCTCCCAATGTTTTTTTTTTTTTGCGAACATGATCACGTCCTGAGTTCCTATGACGTCATCAACTAGTCAACTTTTGTCATGTTAAAGTCGACTTTAAAACATATGTAGTCATTCAACCCCTAGTTCCAGCACACGTATGGTTATATTTGGACATTTTTTATGTAACACTAATAATCTAGATTTATTTGTTTACTGGACAAAAGTGATTGGAGAAGCTTCTTGATGTTAATGGCTGATCCTTGCAGCTCATGCTTCCAAGCTAGACACGATGTTCTGCGCTCAGCTCCTCCATTTGAGCTCCTTCATATTTCCTGATTTTTGAAATGTAGTAAAAACTGCGCTTTGCCAAACCGTCTGAACGGTTGGAACGTCCTTTAACCCAACATGAAACAAACATTGAAATGTACCGGTATGGCAAAAATACTTCTCGATGGTCAAACTTACTCCATCATGACTGGAGTCGTTGCGTGCCTACTAAAATGGTGGTTCGTGACAAAGTGCCCAGATGTGTTACGCCACATGTGAACTAGTATAAAGTGTTTCATAATAGCCTTTAGGAGAAGTCAGAGAAACTGCAGGAGTCCTTATGATCTACTGGTTATTAGTTAGATCAAATCATGACAGTTTCATTAGGATATTTATACGATCAGCTTGTTTATTAATTTAACTGTTCAGAAAGTGAAGCTGAGCTGTGTTCTCGACTGAATGGGTTATATTGAAGAAGGCAACAAGTCAGTTTTTGTTTTTAAATACATTTTAATCTGCTCTGAACAATCAGTCCCTGACAAGAACAGCAATTTTCCTTTTTATCCTAAATAAAGAACTCTGTTCTAATATTACATTATTTCTCCTCCGTTTTCAAAAAGGTAACATACATTGCATACATTTACAACGTGAGAATAGTTCCCTAAAAGAAGTTAAACTGAATTTTAACAAACTGTACACTAATGCATGAATGCCTGTAAGGATTTACATTCAGAGAGTTTGCGCACACACACTAGCTTCAGTCTTAACGTCTTCAAAAATACTGCAGTTTTTATTCTTTCGGGAAAAAAAGTGCTATTGATGTGGAAAAAAAAAAAGAAGGCAGAATCGAAGCACTCGCAGCTCATAGACAGGTGATACTTTGTTATATTACACATTTACGTCCAGCCTGTTCAGTAAGGATGATTTCAAATGTCAGGGTGCCATTAAAATAAATCTGAAAACATCCGTCAGTCAAACATATGCAAGGAACAAAAACACACATTTCAACTAATACTCCTTGGTCCAAGCTCGTTCCATCGGCACAATTTCAATTGGAACTTGGGATTAGTTGTTCACGTTTTGGACAAAACCAAATGAGATTTGAAAAAAGAACAAGTGCGTGAAAGGTTCAGACCAAATAGCATAAAAGATCTCTAATTAAAAACGTGTCCTTTAACAGCAACGCAGATCAAAGTCTGGGTCAGAACTGCACACAATGAAACTGACTCAGTTAAGACAAACAGCATCAGCCTAAACCAGCTTCAAGCTCAGAGGCTGAAGGTAAAATGAATATTTGGGTGTTACGAATAATTCATTTTACAGTTCTAGTCTCACAGTCACATTTTGACTTCAGAGTAAATGAAACGAGGTTGGTACTGCATGTGTGGTATGGATTCAATTAAACAACTGATTTGTGGGGAGATGTGTATACAATGAAAAATAATATTGAGAAATCTTTTAAAAATAAAGTCATTCCTTGTAGGAACCTTGTGTGTAAAGGTTTTAAACCAAGATGTTGAGCAATCTGGTATGGCCTGCAGTGCATGATGGGAACAAGCATCAGCTATGAACACATCAAACTTTATCTCACTGACTAAAACTGATTTATTATTGCCATTTGTGTGTGCCAAGTTTGATTAGATGTTGCAGCCATCTTGAATCAAGTCATGTCCATTTCAAAACATTAAATCCTACATTCCTCACTGACCTTGAACGCCTCGCTGACTGGATGAACATATAAACTAAATAATTTTAGGCTCCCAGCAGAGCTGCAGTCACAGTGATCCAAGAGGCTTCTGCTCTGCTCTCATTCAAATCCAACACGTCGTCTCTAAAGCTCATCCAGACAGAAACAAACGTACATTTTGATGAGAACACGTGGGCACATTCAGATGCTAACGTGAATTTGCACAAGTAATCTCATTAACACCATTTCTATTGCACTCTGCATAGGAACAGGCAAACTAAGACAGAACAAGTAACAAAAGGCAACAGATGCAACGGATACAGTGCGTTTGTTTGTAGGCACATGAGAACATTCAGTCACAGCAAGAAGACGCATTAAAGCCCCAATCTGGAGGATATCTGACGCACAATTACAGAATTAAAATAAAGAGCACGGCTGATGGTGGAAAATAACTTTTAGTGCTGTTAACAGCATTTGACTATTTAATTTGTTGCAGAGGAACTTAAACACAAGAGACTAAAACTGATCCACTGGTGCTGCGTTTGATGAGAAAACATCACATTGTTGTTTTTGACTTGTATGTAGAGTGAACGCCAACATTACATGACAAGTAACAGAGGTCTGCAGCCTGTTTGCACTTTTGTTGCAAAACCTGCAACAATTTAAAATGCAGCTGTTTATGTAAAATGTTTTAATTGGAAAAGGCTGACGTCCCCGGAGTCTGTGTTGAGGCCGACTCTCAGCTCTTACCACACCAAATTTGAGCTCAGTATTTCTAAAATTTAACGAGTTAACTTTGTGCCATGGTTAGTTGGCTGTGGCAGCCATCTTAATTTGGGCTGACTCCTACAGTAAAGTTGTGGATGTGCATCCAAAGAATACTTTCTGAAAGTGAGATTACAATCAGTTAGTGGTTCGAGAGATATCAACATGTCAAACTTTTTAAATCAGCATAAGTTTAAATCATTCTGCAAAATGTACACCAGATTAGGGCTATAATGTTAAATTATATTCCACAGTATATTGCACATACAGTACAATTTATAATAAAAAATAAATGACACAAAGGAAGGCAGCATACGTCACCGTCTGGTCTGACAGTTTATAAAACAGGATAACAGCTTCAGCCACTACTGGTTTTCTTCATGGCCACCTCTTTTCTTTGACTTCTCGTGGCTCCAACCAGTATTTCAGTGAGTGGATTGCATCAGTCATCTTTCAGTGACAGCAGCTGAGCATTAAATAAAGTATTTGGCTTGGTGGTGAAGCAGCTGGAGTATGAGCTAATTTACAGTACAGGTGTGTTCCTACTATGTCCTGGTGTCGTCGTGTTGTGTTGTTGAGGCCTGCGGCCCATGCTCTGCTCTGGTGCGTCTCTGATTCACAGCCTGCGCGGTCACAGTCTGCAGGGCGTTTACAGTCGGAGGGATTTGGAAGGCCTTCCTCACCACAGAGTGCTTTGGTTGCACTTTGCCTCTTTCTGGCGGGTCTTCCATTTCCTGTGTCTGGGAGGTTTGCATGGTGTGTGTTATGAGTGTGCAGGGTGGGCCACCTGGGTCTTTCATCGCCATGCTGGCCCCCACCATGGCAGGATAGCTTCGGTTCCTCCTCAGGCCTGTGTTTAAACCTGGAAGCCCCCCACCCAGTGCGCTGTTCGCCATCCCTGCAGAGCTAAACGGGGCTAACAGAGCATTCCCAGAGGAGCCAGAGGCTGAGAGAGGGGACAGTGTGGGGAAACGCTTCAGCTTGTCCACTAGTCTGAGGCTGGTCACCTCACTTTGGCTGTCGTCATCCACCTGAGCAGCACGCTCTCTCTCCAAATCCCCCAACACTTCCCTCAGAATGGTGCGGGCTGGTTTAGATGCCAGGAAGGCATCACGATACGGCGGGTCGTCGCTGATGGGGCTGAACTGAAACGCAGCACGCGCTGCGATGGAGGAGGCAGATTTGGAGCGAGGTGAGCAGGGTGGGCTGGAGGGCTGCAGGAGGAGGCTGTTGGGCCGTGTCACCAGCTGTCTGACTTCACTCTCTCCTGGTCCAGCTGTGCACCTCGGCTCCTGAATCCTTTCGATGATTGTAGACGCGACCCCAGCATCCAGCACTCGGTCCCAGCTGCACGGGTTGTACACGGAGGCAGAAATGCCCCGTTCCTGCAGGAGGCGCACCAGGCCCAGTGAAGTGCTGGTAGTCTTGGTGGAATCCCGGAGGTTGGTGGACGACTCCCCGAGGGAGAGGGAAAGAGAGAGGCGGCGTGGGGTGCAGCAGGGGGTGTAGGACGGTGTGTGCGGAGCTGAGAATGGTACAGGGGAGGAGGCGTGGGAGGGTGTGCCGATGCTCTGAGACGTGGATATAGCCAGGCTGCAGGTAGGATTAAAAAAAGAAGGAGAGTAGTGGGAAAGGAAAAAACAGTCACTGAGTGTTCATAAGGAATTTAAAAAATGTTCAAAAACTGATAATGAAACTAGACAGAGATTAAAAACCTCCTGACACAAACATCAAATCATGCATTTCAAACAGAGACCATTTTAGGAACTTAACCATGAGTAAATGAACTTTTATCTGCCAGGAATAAAGAAACATCACACACTTTAACAGATAATAAGTAGATTACCATAATAAAGTTTTAATATAATTTGTTACATGAACAAAACACCAAGCACAGAAGTCAACATCTGCATGTCTTCATTCAGCAAACACAGCAGACTCCTGGATGAAGATAAATGCTATTATTTGAAAATCAAAATTCATTAACTTGATGTTAGTTGTTAAATGGAAATTAGATCCCGGTTTTGTTGATGATGAAAATAAGCTTTTTGAGTCCTGCTTTACCTAAAGAACAAGTTAAAGTTTGGATTTCATGTCTGAGGAAATGCATGACGTGCATTCAAATGTTGTCTGGGTCCATTAGAAACAGGCTGCTGAACAGTTATGACTCCATCTATACTGAGACAAAATTTACTGAAATAGGTGAAAATGTAAGACTACTAGGATCGAACCCAAGACGAGTTAAACAACAATGATCCCTCAGGTTGAAATGTTGTGAAGTCACACAAAAAGTCAGGACAAAGTCTCAGTCACTGAAGGAGTAATGTTAAGATCAATGCAAGGAGAAAACTCTGCAACAACAATAGATGACAGAAGAAAACTGCTTCTAACCCCAAAAAATACCCTGGAGCTGAACGGCTTTTGGTAAAAATCCTGTGAGAGTATTGCTGTAGATTTATTTAATTATTTATTTCATACACAGAACAAAATGTCCAAATTGGAACATTATTTTATGAGCAAGAAGAAAGTATGCACGTTAAAAGATCAACTCTGCACTCCACCCTAATGACTATTTTACCATGAAGCATGGTGGTGGTAGTATGATGATTTGGGACCGTTTTGATGCATTTAGACCAAGTCAGCATGCCACCCCTGACAGAATAAAGACTTCTGCTTGAGATCACACAATGTCTTTAAAAAGAAGAATAAAGGTAACTTTCTGGAATAGACAAGTCGCATTTGTATAAAAAACAAGCAGAAGAATAAGAAACAAAACGTTATTGAAATATCCTGATGAAAAGTGTCTGGAGGGCTGTGATCATTCATTCAACCTTTATTTAGACAGATAAATCATATTGAGCATAGAAGACTCATTTACAAGTGAGACCTGTTTGGACAGACAATAAAAGTAGTGAAACTGGACACATGTAGGAATTGGAGGCGAAAAAATTCCTATCAAACTTTTTTTTTCCTGCCTGAGAAGAAAAAACTCAGATATTAAAAAACACCCCGCACAAACAAGCACATAGTGACAAACATTCTACAGAGGGGGACAACGAGAGCAGTGAGCATGTTCATAGACGCTCTCCAGGGCACTGTAAGAGTTCTGATAAGAATGGGATAATCAGTCGGTGTCCTCCGGTGAGATCCATAAACATTCTCGAGGTATGTCAAGGAATGGCCAAGAATAACGACTATGAGAATCCAAGAGTTCTGAAATGACACAAAGTTTATTCATCTGGTTTCATCTGGTTATCAGTTGGAAATTCCTCAGGGAGGGGGTGGTGAGTGTCAGATCACATGTTCTCCAGGCGAATTCAGATAAGATGGCCTTCAAGGCCAGCCAAGGGAGCCAAATTCAGATAAACACACAGTTGTTTTGGGGACAGGCAGAACTTAATGACATCTACCTAGAGTCTGTGCTGGTCCAAACGGTTCCAAAAGGTCCAAATTACATGGCCACGCCAATGGAACGTGAAATCCCAGAGATCTGATCCATTCTGCCCAAAGCATTTGAGTCCGGGTACTCGAGACACGAACCAAGCCATCATAAAGGCAAGCAGCGTGATTGGGTCCAAATTTGCTGCCGACGACTTCCTTGAATGTTGATAAAACCAGCAACCAGCTGAATCCAAAAAGCAGGAGCCAGTTATCGTAAATCCAATTAAATAAGCGTCCTTAAAATCCACAAATGGCAGCAGAAATAGACACATCATCAAGTCTTCAAGTCGATGAGATATCCAGCTGCGTGCGTGCCAACAGGGCAAATTGGCTCGTGTAGTGAACCTGATCTGACCTCAAATCTGATCAGATGAACAGAGACTGTTATTTCATTGATCTGCATCCAGAAATACAGTTTGAGCCATCTGGAGACTTTCTTTCTTGAATTAATCAAGTAGAAAAGACAATCCTCTATGATCATTACTATTTTACAAATGTTTGATAATCAAATTTTGTTAGTTCACTCAATGCTTACAGGTTGAAGAGAACTACTCATTTTTATTTTACATAAACAGTAAGTAATGATTTTTATTCCTCATTCAAAGAAGAAATCAGGTTAATATGCATTTCTTGATTTTCTGTCTTCAATGAGCAAGTTTTGTAAGTATGTTAAAGGTCGAGTCTCGGTCAACTAAAATGTTTACTGAGAAGAAATGTCATGTTTAAACTTTTTCAGAAGATAATAGGAGTTTGACTCCACGAAGTCTGGTGTTTCTCCAATAATCTTTTCTGTCTGTTAAGCAATCTCATTCTCTGCCCTTGACTTTTGATAACATCTTACGTCACAAAACACACCTCTATTCTGGTCCATCCACGAATCAGAAAGCTCTAAATTGACCCGGAAGTCAACTCATTTAAAATGTGGCAACTTCCCGGTTCTTGCCAGAGTGCTGAAAGAGTCTGATGTCGGAAGTCTGATAGAGAGTGCTAAGGAGATGAAAGGAGTTCAGAGTTCTTAGATGCAAACGCATTCAAGATGATCCAGAGACGTTTTGGGATTATAACTTCTGTTTGGATAACCTCGTACGACTCTCTAAGGGTTTGGCAGTCCTCACGGAGACGCTGAAAGAGTCAGAAAGGAACCCTACGCCGACGCTGATTTTATCATCAACCAGGTAGAAGGTTCTATTTTCGACCAAGTGTACCGTGGGCAAGCTGAGCTCTGAAGGAGCGTGCACGTTTCTGGTCAAACAGATTAATTCCCTCACACATCTCTCTGTAAGATAAATCTCCATTTCCATCTTAAACTCTCCTTTCTCCTAAGATCATAACAGATATCTTAGAAATATCTGAAGCAAAGTCCTCGATCACCGCCGTGTGATTGATGTCCATTATCTGTGAAACTTGTCTGTTATTATTTTCATATTTTGCCAAATTAATGTAAATGTTTGATGTTAAACTTTGATTCTGAAAATAAATGACCGCATTCATTTGATGGGTCAAAGAAAATAACGTCTCTCGTTAGCATTTCTGTTAAACTCAACGCACGACATTTACACAGTCAGAAAGATGAGGAACTCGTGAAAAAAGTATGAATATATCCAGCATATGACATACTACACTCACCTAAAGCCTGTCTTCTCTTCGAAGAAATGTTGTAAATCAGTAGATCAGTTTATACATCTGGGAAACTAAACAGCCACTGGTCAAAAGGATGGCCCAGCACAGAAGAGCAACATCATCTGGCCAGGACCCTGTGGTCTACACTCATCTGCAGAGCAGCGGTCACTCGTTCAAGGATGAAGATGTTCACATCCTTGATAGAAAGGAACGCTGGTTTGAGAGGGGAGTGTTAGAAGTTTAATCTTGCTGGAGGTCTGGTCTACTCTGACTCATAACCTGGTTCAGAACAGATCATACCGATCTCAGCTGCTCACAATGAGTGATCCCAGGGTCAACACCTGATGAGTCGTTGTTTTTGCTTGCTTACAACACTTAGATTTGCACATCACCCTAGCCACCATCAGAAACGGATAAGACCGGTGAGATCACGCATATTCACCCCAAAGATACACTCTGATAGGTTGTGCCTGCTCCGGATGTGAAGGCAGAGCCAAGGGCCAACATAAGCTGGAGCGTTCTTTAGTACAGAGCCTCCGCTTCCTGTTCCGGGTTAAGACGGGTCGGACGGATGCCTCAGCACTGACCTTGTAACTTTTCCTGCCTTATGACATTTAATGGTAAATAGAATGTACCTCTCTTGATTTTAACGAGTTTGTGTAAGTTTTCGCTCCACCTGGGAACAAAGGAACCGGAAGGGCACCGTGGTCGGACGGCTGACAGGAGTGAAGGAAGCCATCTTTTTGAGGAGAACCTGTCTATCGTTGAACAGAGGCCTCCATGTCCAGCTGTCCCCCTCCTACAATGCTGTTATTGCTAGTATCACTCAGCCCTCTGAATAGTAAGCGGCCATCAGGGCACTAACGGGTCGTTAGGCTGATGGTCCTCCTTTTGCATGTGAACAGCTGGTTCTGGCTGTCTCCAGCAAACTGGCTGATCCACTATGAGAAGGTGCTATTTATAAGACTGAGTTTGTTGCAGCTCCTCAGACTGAAGAAGTCTTTTGGATAAAAGATGAAACATTTCAACAACGAAGAATCTGTCCAGACTCAACCTTCTTAGGTTATTTAATTACCACATCAGCATCCTAGATAAGAAGGAGTTCAGTATGAAGGACTGGGCAACATAAAAATATAAGATCAGAGTAATAAAAATTGTCATACAGAAGAAAACGATGCAACGGTCCTGGGTCTTGAAGTTCCTGGATGTTTTCGATCACTTTTTACCGTCTGACTCAAGGACTTGGCTTGGCCACACAACAACTTGATCAGTAAAGAACTGGATGTTTATACTTAAATTTTTTACCTGTAAATTGTCTTGAAAGGCGAAATAAATTGAGATAATTTGGTTTAAACCTTGATGTATCTTAGGAGACTGAGCTGTTAAAACTTTAATGTTCTGGGCTGTAGCAAACAGAACCAAGAACATTTTAAGTGTTTTGGGAGCAGGGATGTCAGTATTTGCCTCAAAAAGTTGCTCACACATTATTTTCCTGTACGTTCACATTTCAGTGGCCAGAGTTAGAGTTTAGACGTTATTCTGGTACACACAAACCCAGAATCTTCACATATGTGCTACCATGCACGTTCTCACCCATCTGCACTCAATGGGTCTGTTCTACTTCAGTCATAACAAACATATGATACAAGTCCAGTTCTTCTTCCTCATCACATGACCTGCCAAACCAATCACACAGCAGGGACAGATATCACCGTGAGTCACATGCTGCGATGCTAAAATCTGTTTTGAAAGAAAATACAGGTGAAGATTCAATTTTTAGCTTTCTGAGCATATTTAACCAGTATTACCATATTTATACCCAGTAAATGTGTCAACTTCTGCTTCAGGCGTTTGCCTTTTATTTTTTCCATTATATTGTAGTAAATTTTAGAGTATTTAAAAAGTATTACCTGGGAGACATAGTGGTCAGCTGATCAGACGGGTGGAGGATCCTGCAGGTGGTGAAGGTGTACGTGGAGCTGGTCTGGGACAAACATTTCCCTGGGAAATGAACTGGGAGAAAAAGGTTGGGCAGAGGAGAACAGAATAAAATGTTAACATGGATGTAAAATACATAGAAAACTAAACTCAAGAAAAAAGGTCATAGTTGTAGTTTGAGCCCCAAGAAAAGCACCATCTTAAATTAGCCTCCAGGTTCAGTTCTCTGTAAATATGTAGATTTCATCAAACTAAACTGATCACTTAAATCTAAATTGATGGCAACAATGTCAAAAATACATTTACCAAAACAGCCATTAAGCAGGGATGGAAACAGAGTTAACTGAATGTCCCCAAAGCAAAGAGGGAAAGTTTCATAATCAAACATTCATCTTAGGTTTGATGAACATGAACCACATGATAATTCATGTTGTGTAATGTAACACGCTTGTGAGCATGCATTAATTAGGAAGACCCCAGAAAAACACAGAAGTGACCCAACAGCGCCGACTGCAGTCCAGCATGAAGCAGCTCTGGGTGTCCCACATCCACAGCTGCACCACCACCACCTGATGCAGCCTCCTCCACAAACAAGAGCATGACGTGGATTACAGCCATGATACTGCTGCAGCCCCGCACCATTACTGCAAGAATCGTATACTGATCATTGTTTTCCCAGGTGAATTATCACTGAAAACGTGTGAACGCTTCTGACTTCAGAGATTTTGGTTGAAAAGACAAAGATGATTAAAAACTTGGAAAACGTGACTGGCCAAAAGAAAAGAGTGACGAAGTTAGGAAGGGAGAAGAAGGATGAAGAAAAGAAAGAAAAACAAAAGTTAAAGTACTCTGTCTGGGTCCTGATGGCTGCGCAGAATGCTCCTGGGATGCGTGGGAGGGTGTGCTGGTGAGTGCACATGCATGGAATCATGCAGGATGGGGGGAGACACATTATGGAGGTTAGATGTCCCCTGATCTCTCACCCCATGTCTACCTCACCCTCCTTTCTGTTCTCCACATTCTCCCACCCTGCTCTCCCCATGCTCCAGATTAAAACGAGGACTTTGTGGGTGGAGGCTGAGACTCCTGCTAAGCGGCCCCCTCACCAGGCATGTGGTCCACAGTGGTGGACTGCAGGGCTTGGAGCTCGTTGAAGTCCATGTGCCTGTTGATCTCTGAAGAGGCAGGGACAGGAGAAGGAGAGGACAAACTGGGGAGGGACGTGTTGCCAACGAGTCCATCTTTTCCTTTTACTGCCTCTCTAGCACAGCAGATCCCTCCACCGAGTCCTTCTGGTTGGAGGTTGGCATCAGAGCGGCTCATGTTGTTGCAGCAGGCAGAGGTAGAGTGGAGCAGACTGATTGGAGCAGAGCTGCTGAACGAGTCACATGACACTTCGTCCTCCTCTGGTTGATCCAGTTGCCAGCCGTCTTCCTGCTCCTGCTCATGAGCTAACGTGCGGAAGCCCTTGGTGACCACACCAGGCCGGTGATCCAGCAGAGCCCCCATGTGGGGCTGAGCCAACTGCTGCCATGCATGGAGGGTGGCAGAACCTAACAGGGGGGGGAAACTCAAATTAGAAGTTTTTACTGCAGAGTGTGCAATGAAAATGGCTATTTGTGATTAAAGAAATGTTTCACTCTACGTCTTTAACATGCAAACATGAAGCTCCCCACATATGATATGGTGAGGTCTGAACTTGAACCATGAAAGAAAAAATGTTGCATAACTACAGATGCATAAAATAAAATGACATTTTGGTGAAGATGTTGGTGAAAATGGTGATAATTTTCAGATTTAAACACTTTTTATTGCACAATTTTAAGGCAGTTCTACAAAGTGTGACTCCCTTTGTTCAGCTTTACACAATCAACCTGATTCGGATCAGTTTCTGAGGACTCTGATCTCATCTCTTATCTTGAGATCATGCTGCATTAAAGGCACAATATAAGGGTGTTTTCTCTTTTAAAGGAGTGTGTCTGTACACTTCCACACATCCACTATCCTGATGGTAAACACAGACACAACTAAATGTGATTATTAGAGAAAATATCTCATGCAGTTTACAGGAGTCGTATATAAACATGTCATTTCATGTTTCATCTCGATGTTCATCTCTATTAAACTGAGCTTTTGTGCTTTTGACTTGTTTTGTTTTTAGTAAATAGGTCATTTTCCATGATGCATTGAAGGAATTTTCAGTGAAGTAACTCAAAACAAAGCAAAAGAAAAAAGGAAAGTAAGAGCTTTAGTAAGATTTTATTCAAAAGATTGAACAGAAAATGAAGTTCAAACAGAAAAAATGAAGAAATGAAAACAATAGTGGAGAAGTGACTGCAGTGGACAGAAAAATACGCTGCAAGACCAAAGTCATAATGAAAGGATATTCTGAAAGCCAGAAATGTATGAAAAGAAGTGGGATATTGGCCCTGCATCACTTCTCATATTAAATCACCTGAAAACTGAACAGATTATTTCTGTTTATACAGAATATATACTTTAAAAAAATATATGTTTATGCCTTCATGCCTCTGTCACCCTCGTTTTATTACACTTCTATATTATGATTTTTAGATGCATCTAAAGGTTGTAATTAAAGCTTTGACCACAAGATGGAAACACAAACAGTAAAAATAAAACCTCTTATTGAAGTTACATTTAACATATTTAATACAGATCACAGATGTTTATCAAGAATATAGAGAAAAAATATTTCTGTTGCAATTTTACAAAAAAAAAATAGAATTAAACAGAACAGAATTAGAATTAAAGAATTAATATAGAATTAAACAGTTACTATTGCTGAACATGCACTGTATAAACAATTTAACCCTGCAGCACTGTCAATCAAAACACAGGAAAATATTAATCCAGATGTATAATTATCAACCTTTGTTTAAGCAGGAAAATCCCACTGAGATCACAGATCTGTTTATCAGGGGAGACTTGGGCCTGGGGGCAGCCTAACATGCATGTTTTTGACTGTGGGAGGAAACCAGGGAAACCCACTCAAACACAAGGAGAGCGTGCAAACTCCACACAGAAAGACCCCGGGTCCAAATTGAGAATTTAACCCAGAACTTTTTTGCTGTGAGGCAACAGAGCTAACCACTGATACACTGTGCTGACCAATAATAAACTTGTTTATATTCTCTGATGCATTTAAATCTAACAAACAAGGCCTGTAATGCACAATCCCTTCTTTATACTATATTTGTAACTGCTATATTATACCTCCAACCAGCAGTGTGGTTGAGTGTGTTGAAAATAAAAGGAGTGCTGAGGATTTAAACCTACTTCCTGTTGCTCCAGCATTTTCAGCAGGCCTCTGGTGAGAGCCAGTGGAGCTTTAAAGGAGGGCGGTAAACTTGATGGGCTGCGGAGCTCCGACGAACTGGAGCTCCTCTGCAGCTTGTTACCACCCACAGAGGCCCTCAGAAAGATTGTAGACTGTTGGTGGTTCTGAAAAATGAGATTCTGATGCTGATGCTGATCGGAAGGACAAAACTGGATATCACTCTTAGGAGCACTTTGAAATAAATAAATAAAGTTCTGATGTAGTGCTCGTTTCTTTTGGTGTTTTTGCTTTAAAATCTCATTTTCTTTTCTATTTTGGTGAGGGTTTGCAGACATGCTGCTCCGAAAACAATAATCACCTTCTAGTGGCTTTACAATCTGCAGCTTCTCCGGCAGGTAGGACCTTGCTGTGATAGAGTATCCAGACAAGATGCTTCCGAAGGAGGGGTGTGAGCACAGAGACAACAGACTCTCTGTTGGGGTCCCCGGTCCTCCGCTACCCTCCCCACCTTCTTTCTCCTCCTCTTTTGACGGGTAAGCTAGCTTTCTTTCCCTCTCTTCCTCGAAAAAACGCTTTTCAGAGAGGTAGTTGTCGCGGCGGAGGGAGAGGCGGCGCAGAGCCGCCTCCAGGTCCCTGCTGCCTGGAGTTCCTGGGGTACCAGGGGGGCGCTTGTTGGAGTCCTCTGATCTGAAGAGACAGAGGAAGAAGGAAAAGGAAGGAAAGTGAATAAGAAAGCAAGTACACACACACACACGCACGCATGCACGCACACACACACACACACACACACATAATATCTATCTATCTATATATATATATATATATATATATATATAT